CCTATTAGCAGAAGAATTTAAGAGGTGATATGCCCGGGGGAATGGATGATCTGTCCATAGAAGAAATGTAGGAGATCTTCTGCCCAAAGAAGTTCTATACAAGGGCTCCTGTCCATAGAAAATTTGCAGGATGTCGTCAGTTGTTGATTCTTATATTTTTAAAGGAATTCTTCGTGTAGAAGACCTAGACTTCTGTGAACTGGTGATTATGCAAGGTGATATGCTTAAAAGAAGCCCGTAGGCGGTGTTCTGTCCATTGAAGACATGAAAGAGCACTTCTGTCCGTAAAATTTCTATAGAAGGGATCCATGTCCATAGCAGATCTGCACGAAGTCTAGGTATTCTTCTGCTTAGGAGGTGATATACGCATGGGAAGGTGGTATTCTGGCCATAGAATAACAGCAGGACGTCTGTTAACAAAAGATTTTTGAATGAAAATGTCCATAGAAAATCTTAGTGTGGTATTCTGTACTTGAAAGACTTCTGTCCTGCCCAGGAAAGGCCTGTAAAGTTTTTTTCCTGTTTAGGAAAACATTTACGAAATTTTTATTCAACCTTGATTTGCAGTAAATCGTCATTTATAGAATCCTATCGGTGGTATTCTGGACTTAGTAGACCTTTTGATGATATTCTAGTTTCTGTCCCGAGAAGAACTCCATGTCCTTTTGTCTGTAGAAGATATATCTTCTCTTCACAAAAGATCTTAGGAGACCCACTGTGCATAGAAGATTTGTAATAGGGTTTCTACTTATAAAGGAACTGCCATGGAAAACCTGTGACCTTTTGTCGTCCTAAAATACATGTATGCAATTGTTGATCAACCTTCCAACCTTGGAAGATGTTCTAGAGGTCTTTTGTCCATATAAGATCTGTATATAGTCTTTCGGAACCTTATTCTTTTTATAGAACACCACTTAAAGATATCAAGCCAGAATATCTTCCAATAAAATCGTATTGAAAATGTCTACCCTTGGTGCCCCGACCTGTAAGGTATATAAAAGGCCTTCTCCCAACCTATCTGACCCTACAGTAGGGTTTTATTTTTATTGAACCCCATTTGAAGTTGTTCTGCCTTATGAGATTTTTCTATAGATTTTTAAATTAAAAGATCTCCCCAAAATCACCACCCTCCACTGTGTCATTATCTAATGAAGCTGATCTGAAAGCGATGTTTTTGATAAATTTTCACGCAACATCTTTGTTTGCCAAAAGTGAACAAATTACGACAACAACAACAATCAAGAAAGAAAAAATACTCCCTTGGAATTCCAACCTAATCATTGTGTAATCATTTGTAATACACGATACAACAAAAATTGATGTCGTCTAAATTTCGTGTGAACGGGGCGAAGGAACGGGAAAAATGTTACGGCTAATTGAGCACCCCTCTCGCATGAACAATGAATGAGCGCAAGCAAATTGAAACACAGCATTACACAACAACACCACCACCACCACCACCGAGGAAGCAAGCAACATGATTGCTGCCTCCAATGATGTAGCTGTGGCAGGAACAACAGCAGCAACAACGATGATGACTTTGGTGGTGGTGGTGACGATGATGCCTTTATGTCTGTCTAAGCGGCTTTTGTAATTTCGCTGTTTGACACTTCAATTATGTGAGAGTGTGAAAGTGCAACAAGGGAGTTTTCCCTTTTTTTTTTGCTCTGTGGGTCTTCTTTTGTTTTTGGAAATTTGATATGCTCTTGAGTTCCATAGAGCGACAACGCAATGCCACAATTTCCACTGAATAAACGTCAAGTGCATGTGGCACTTGGCGTTGTGTATTTTGGCCTTTTGGTGAGTGTGGGGTTGGGGGCGGAGGTCACAAGTGTTTTTCTGCCTGTGAAGCAAGCCTTTTGGCACTGCCGCAGTTTGTAACAAATTGTTTTGGGAATTGAAGTGACGTTTTGGATAATATCCTATCACAAAGGGGTCACCAGCCATCCGCTCAGTTATTCATACACTTGTATGCGAGCCATCAAACATAAGGGATTTTTCGCCTTCTACACGGAAGCGGAAGGAAATGCTTAAGCATATATTTCCCTTCCCATTCCGCCACTTCTAATCATTCAAATCATTTATCTCATAATTCTATACGAATCGATTCGAATTCAAATAGATTATTGTCATAATTATGTTAAACATTTTTATGGGATTTTGATCACTTGCCCTGTCTGTCTCTCTGTCAGTCAATCTTGTGAAATTATTTCTTTTTGGGTAGCAGTTTTCTTTAATTATTTTTATTATAATTTGATGGGCCACTTCAGTTATTGTGATATATTCGAATATTTTTCTATAAAAAATAAGAAAAAAAAAACATAGAGGTGGAAAAAATTTAACGCCAAACACCCACAGAAATTCCGCCCCATTCATGTGTGCATTCAATTCCGTGGACCATCTAATGCCATAGATTGTTATTGGTGTTGACTAATTATCACCAATTTGGAATGTATGGCAATATATAGTGGGACACACAACCTCACATACACCATATACTTGTCACCGATTTGTTTGCCTGTTGCTGTCCGTGTCATTTCAACACATACATTATTTCCCTCTGCCGGAAAGTCCGAAACCAAAAAAGGAGGGATGTATGAAAATTGACGCACCGAACTTATATAGGTCTCCCAATACTAAATGATCAATTTTCCAAATTTCTGCTACCTCCCTCATCCCCCACCGTCGTACACGATCAATGTGTAAACGACACTCATCGACAATTTGGTGTTTTTTTTTTTGGATGCTTTTTTATTTTTCTTTCGGCGGCAATTGTGTGTCTTATTCTGTATTCTGCCCTGAATGTCTGACATTCTCTCTGTTCATTTGTGTGGTGAATTATAACCTCATTAATTTGCTGTTAATTTGTTAAATGTCACTAAAAAGCAACGACACTGTTTGTCAAAAAATAATGAACGAAAAAGAGCAGTGATCGGAATCTCTTACAAAATTGTTGGGGGAAATATTTTTTTTCGTACACGCAACTTGTTATGATTGTAAAATTGATGTTTACAAAAATAATTCTTGGAATAATAAAATGGGAAATAATAAAAAATGCGTATAATAAAATTTTAGGTAATGATCGGTTAGAAAAAATTGTCAAATTATTACTTAATCCGATTCAGATTTTTTAATTTATGACATTTGAATCGTGTATCCAATATATTTCGTAATAATATGTTGTACAGATGGCATAGATTGTTTTTAGATTACTTAGATAAATCGTAAAGGTTCTTGAAATTTTATATATAACATTGAAATAATATAGATAATGTAAAAATGTACCCCAGATGACAAAGATACTTCCTAAGCAACATCAGATACTTCATAAATGAACCCCAGATAACAAGGATATGTCATAAACGTCATCTAGATATCGTAGATAATTCATAGAAGTGATCCAGATAACGTAGATACTTCTTAAACGTCATAAAAATAGCATAGCTAACGCGTAACTGTATTCCAGATAACCTAGATAAGGCACATATGTGTTCCAAATAATTTAAATGCTTCATAACGTCATATAGATAACATAGATAATCCAAAATTGTGGTCTAGATAATATAGATAATGTTTATATGCTATCCAGATAACCTAGATAATCCATACCTGTGTTCCAAATACCATAGATACTTTATAAACGTCACCAAGTTAACATAGCTAATTCTAGATAACATAGATAAAATGGATATAGCATAAATGTGATCTAGATAACAAAGATAATGTGTACTTGTCTTCCAAATAACATAGATACACCATAAACGTCATAAAGATAACATAGATAATTCATAACTGTGGTCTAGATAACATAGATAATGTATACATGTCTTCCAGATGACATAGATACTTTATAAACATCATAAAGATAATGCATAAAAGTGGTCTAGATAAAATAGATAATGTGTTCGGATAAGTAAACATATCATGGGTGATGTAGAATGTGATTCAGATAACATAGATAGCGCATAAATGTGATTCAGATAGCATAAATACTTAATAAACGTCATAGAGATGACATAGATAATACATACATGGATTCTAGATAACATAGATAATTCACAAACGTCGTGAATATAACATGTAGTGATCCAGATAACATATATACTTTATAAACGTCCTACAGATAACATAGATAATTACTAAATGTGAATCAGATAACATAGATAATTCGTAAACATGCATTCATTGACGTAGATAATTCAATTTTATAATCTAAATGACGTAAATATGACGTAAGTATCTTTGTTATCTAGATAACATAGATATTTTGTCCCTTTCATCTGGATGATATAGATACTTTAAATATGTAATTTAGATAACATAAATATGTCATGTACACCTCACAGATTCGATAGATACTTTATCTACGTTAGCCAAGCCACAAAAATGCATTATATAAATTATCTAGATACCATAGATAATCAAATTTATTTATGTAGTTGTTGCAATTTTTGTAAATTAGATAACATTTATCTTCCCTACATGTCCCTTAGATAACATAGATACCTCGCTACGTTATCCAGATAACATAAATAATTAGTAAACGTCATCCTTTTGGCAAAGATAATTCAATTGTATAATCAAAATTATGTAGATAATTAATTTGCTTTGTGAAGATAACAAAGATAGTTTATCTTTTTCGTCTATATAACATAGATACTTTACATTTGCCATTTAGTTAACAGAAATGTATTATGAACACCTGTCGAATATCATAGATAATTTGTCTACGTTAATCAAATTCCATAGATAATTAAATTAACTTGATTTTTATCACATAATATTAAACTTGGTAAATTTATATTATCTAGATAATACATCTATATTATCTAGATAACATAGATGATATCCCAGAATCGATGATACCTTATACTGATTCCAAAAATAATTATCTACTCATTTCTATGGCAGTATATCCCAATTTATCTTAACATCTTATATAAATAAATGTTCCTTAGATAATATAGATAATAGATAATTCATCAATCATTACTACTTACTTCGGAGCTTTTCCAACGGTTCATGTTTCGGTGTATGATGCGGGGGTACAACACTATGATGTGGATGTTGCGAGTAGCCGCCAACCAAATCCTGACCGCCATGATGTAAATGACTCAGACTACCGATTGGCATGAGGCTCGAAATGGCAGGTGAAATGCTAACCGATGAACTGGAATCGTGGAGGCTATGATGATTATGCAAGTGGTCACTGCCGCCACCCACCGAAGCATTACTGTTTACAGTTGAACTTCCCGTGGTACTGCCACTACTCATCGCTGTACTGGTTGTGGTGGCACTTTCTGCAGAGCCGGTGGAACCAGCACCCGCTGCTGTACCAGCACTAACCAAATCCTGTAAACACAGGCCAGTCGATTCGGCTGACATTGCTTCGAGGCCATTTAGGGCACCACCACCCACACCGCCAACACCGACACCAATCGGAGCGGTGGACAAGCCATGACCGCCGCCAGCAGCATTACCGCCGCTGGCGCGATCCATACCTAGATATGTGGGAAAAATGGTGGAGAATCCTTGAGCCACAGCTTGGTGTGGCTGATGGTGGCCGTGCAGGGTGCTTTGTTGGTGGTGCGGATGTAGCGGAGGCAGATGGTGATCTCTGCCCGAGAACTTCGTCGTGACGACGTCCTTGAAGTGTTGCAAAAATGTAGTCGTCGTGGTGAGGCCGGTATCGTACACTGGGGTAAAGTTTACAATTTTCAGGCCGTTTCAAGAAACCCAACGAAAGAAATTATGCAAAGGTAGTCTAAAAAGAAGAACAAGAGAAAAAGATAAACAATGATTAGCAACAATTATTTATAAAAAAACGAAAGAAAGAAAAAACATAAAAGATAAAGGCAATGTTTGTTTTATCTGGAATTTTGTTGTTGCTGCTGCTGTTGTTCTTTGAGAGATTGTGAGATTTCACAAACATTAGCCGCTTAACCTTCCAACACTCTTAAAGACAGCCTATCTTAACACTTGTCGTTGATCTTGTTGGCAAGTAACCGCAGCATTGGAAATATTTGTTGTTGTTTTTCTTTTATTTTCGTTTCTGTGGCATGGCCCTGCGTATATAGGAAAACAACAAATATTTGTGATGCTGCCTGGTTGTGTTGTTGTATTCTTTGTAGAACAACAAAAAATATTAACGTGATAATCTTGAAAATCATTAAAAATTTTTTTCACCTTATTTCCCTGGTATCTGTCGTGGGTAAAGAAAGACTTTAGACCTTCTCCATAGTTTTAAGTTTATTTTTTCGGTATTCTTCTTTAAATAATAAATAAAGGTAGATAACTAAATTGTTTTCATTTCCATTTTTTTTTTTTTTTGATAACATTTGCATCAGAACTTTAAGAAGAACAAGAAGCGGTCATAAAATAACTTTCAGAACCCATGATATCTATGATACTATAATTTTCGAAATTTTAATAGACCCTAGGATAACATCCAATATTGGAATTTCTTCCATCTGTAGATGATATTCTCTTTAAAGCGTACTGTAAGATGTGTCGAAGAATTTCGAAACATATCGTATTTCTTGTCTGTAGAAGAACTGTTAATGACTCTATGTCATAGCAAACTGCAGACAGTTTTCAACATATCAAAGGCCTGTTGAAGGTTTTCTGTCTTTACCAGACCCGTGGATGACTCTGTCCGTAGAATTTTTGTATCTCTCACACTCTGTCATAGAATACCTGTATACAGTTTTCTATATATTTAAGGCCTTCTGTAGAAGAACTGTTCATAGAAGTTCTGTATCTACATAGGGCCTGTTTGGTTTTGGTATTTCCCCCACCACAAAGCGGAGTGTAATTAAAATTACTATTCCGCTTACAACACCTCGAAAAATTCTTCGGAGACCCAATTAAATACAAATATTCTCGATCCGAGTAAAATTCAATGTCGATTTTCTCATGGCCTTCTTTTGAAATTACGATAGAGCTTTGACAATTTAAAATATATACTTGGACTTTTTCACATATATTTTTACTAATCCTTGGATACTTTTGCTATTGAATTTTAGATATTTTTTTTTCGAATGAGGAAAATACCTGTGGTGTAGAATTTTCAATCTGGTTAGACGTTTTGAGGGGTTTCTGAGTCATCCGAGCTGATTAAATGTATTTTGAGGCTTCTAGCCTTATTTTCCTGTCTATATTTCCATTAATTAAGATTTTAGGTTCTCGATTCTCCTGCGAGTCCATTGTATGATAAAGAGGGGTCGGATCTATAGTAGGTATTTTCAAGGTTCTGGCCTTCCTATTTTTGTTTCGATTAGTTAATATTTTAGGTTCTCAGTGGAAAAAACATTCTGTCGAAACATTTTCAATGTGAATTCATGCTTTGATATAGTCCGCAAAAAAGGGTGAAAGGGTAAAAATGCTCAATATAAGCCCATGTTCGGATTGGTTTTTGGTATTTTGAAGGTCATATACTTCAAACGATGTACTGTAATAAGACCGAAATTTGTAATTCGAAGAATTAAATTACAGGCATAGAACATCCAAGGGGGTCCATGTTTTGGCATAGCCCCATATATACGGTTTCGGGAATAGAATAGGAATTTTGAAGGTCCTAACCTAATTCTCCAACCTATGTATCGGTTTGACAGTTTTAGGTTCTCTGAGAATAAGAAAACCTCCATGCAATAACATTTTTATCATATCCCTGGACCAGCACAATTATGGTTATCTGAGGGCCTATATATCTCCTGACAGCAATTTTTCAATGTCTGCAATATTTCGATCCCCATATAAGGGTCCACATACTAGTTTCTATGTATTTTTATGGTCATAAACTTATTTTTTCAACCTAAAGTAGGTCCAATTTTTTACATAGCACTATATTGGGGTCCCGACTGATTTTAGGTATTTTGAAGATTCTTACGGTCTGACAGAAATTTGCATGTTCTAACATAGCTACCCATATAAGCATCCGTAGGTTAAGGTCATATTCTCATTCTCACATAAAGAACCCGTCTCATGTTAGAAGCTTGTACATAACTGTACATAGCCTCCGATATAAGATCCGCAAAAATTTTTAGTTATTTAGAAGGTCCGACATAACTATATTATGCAAAGAGTTACCCATAATTTGCATTTTTAGGCCTCCTGAATTTAAAATTGTCGGCAAAGTGATCTATTTATCTCTGAGAATTTGTCCATTTCAGGTGTTTAAAAGTTTCTAGCCTCCAATTCAATCGATTTTCCATATTATAGACAACCTTCTATATGAGTTCATATAAGGAACCGCATTGATTTTTAGTTATTTTAAAATCCCGCCCCTAGCCTTACATTTCAGGTTCTCCTTGGGTCTCATTTCTCAACATTTTGATTCCACTGATCGAAATATATACAGCCTTTATTATGAGCTGTATGACAAATCCTACAATATAAGGATCCGCAACGATTTTTAATTATTTGAACCTGAACCTATATTTAAAATTGACTCAAAAGACGTCTATTTATCACTGAGAACCTATCCATTTCAGGTGTTTAAAAGTTTCTAACCGGTTCCCAATCTGATTGGTGGATTTATCCCACTCCAGTTTTCAATATGAGCTGAATGGCATACCATCCAGTAAATGGATTTGGACCAAATTTTTGTTATTTTGAAGACCTGCCCTAACATTATTTTACAAAGAAGTTGTTGTAGTTTGGAATTTCAAATTTTCAAACCTATTTGAAGATAATTGATCAATGTAAAATTATCATAATGTGCCGAATGTCATAAAATGATTTCGATCCAGGATTTCCAAAGATGTAGCTGTAATTTTAAATTTTCAGATCTCTATGTAAATTTTGTCATTAAGACCTAGACCCAGAATTATATGCAAGCAGATCTATTTGACTGTGATGTCAGGTGTTTTGTTTTCAGGTATTTTAAAGACCCTAGCCGCATATCTCAAACTAAAATTCACTTCAATCGAACCATCCTCCAACCCATTACAACAGGTGTCAAAATAAAAAATAAAAAAAAAAATAACAACACCTAATAAATTGTTTAAACGTCAACAAAAAATTGTTTATCACTGTCACTCACTACTGAATAGTAGTGAGTGAGTGAACTTTACATTCTATTTATTTTTATTTATTATTTTCAGTTTTTTTGTCATTCCAACACTTTTTTTTTTGCGAAAACACTTAACATTTTTGAAATAAATTTTCTAATCCTTACAAAATACAAGTTAATCCTATTCGGGATCAAATAGAGATCAACATTTATTAGATTAAGATTTGTTTGGTTTTACAAGATAACAAAAAATGCAACAACAACAAAACAAAACAAATTATGAACAAAAACAACAACAAGAAGAGTTTTTTTTTTGCCAAATCAACAACAATAAATGTCTGTTTACAGAAGAAGCCAGCCAGCAGCAGCCACAAAGAACTGCCAGCAGCTATAATATAGCTTATCAGATAATCACTGAAAATTTTTGCCTGAATTGCTGCATGGCTGGCTGGGTAGGTTAGGTGGTTGTCTGTCTGTGCGTTTGTGGTTCGAAATGCAAAAATGAAAGCGAAAGCCAGCCGAACACTACTGCAATTCTAACTAGAAATTATATTGTTGTTGCTGCAAATGCAATAATTAGATGCAAATGCAAATATTTAAAGGTGTTGCAGCGATCAACTGGGTAGCTAATAAATGGTTGAATGGCTGGCTTAGTTGGTTGGCTGCTTGAATGCTACTAAATAAATATTTACTCGAACATTTATGGTTTAATATATCCCTGTCACTGCTTCTGTTGTGCGTGCGTACGCGCAATATTGCAGTTCGATATCGGTGAATATTTGAATGAATGCATCCGCACAAGAAGAGATAGTTCATATCTGTGAGCGTTCTGATTGTGTTAATGACTATCATAAATAGTTCTGGTTCTGTTGCTCTTCTTTTTTAGATTTTTTTTTTATTGAATTTTTCCATTGTTAGTTTAACCAAGCGAGTGTGTGTATTTGCCAATTTTTTTTATTTTATTTTATTACTTATTTATTTAAGATGTTTATCTCAGTGGTTTCGGTGTTCGAATGTGTGGTGAAGAGCAGAAGGACAAGCGAACGGTCGGTAAAATAAACGAAGAACCACAAAAAACGGCAATACTGACACCGGCACTATTTATGAGTTGCCCGGCAAAACAAAAACGACTGTTGGTATACTTTTTTTATCATTGTGTGCTAAATTTTCTTGTTATTATTGTATTTTGCTGCTATTAAATTTATGATTGCTGTCAAGGTTTTTGCTTTCTTTATTGATTATGGTTTGAAATAATGGTTTGAATATTTATAACACACAAAAAAGAGAGCGAAGGAGATATGTGTAGTAAAGAAATAAATATTTATATTTAGTGACATAGAGGAGGGGGTATACCTTGTAATTGTGGATCATCAAACGAAGATTATTTGAAAAAAAAAATTAAATTAA